TTGCCATAATCTCTATTATATTTTCAATCTTTAAGTTTAGAATCCACTCAAAAATATAGGTATTTTAACAGAGACTGTTTTCATGTTTAACCTACCACCATATTCAGATATGTTAACCACTTTATATCCTACTACTTTTTCAGTTACCCGGTAATAATTTTTATATAAAATGTGCCATTTTTATGTTATAGTTAAGATATTTGTTTGCTTTAAAGACATATCAAGTTTTATATTATTATTAGTATACCAAGCTAGATATTAAACAGTTAAAACATTACAATGTTCTTATTAAAAACAACACTCCCCGTAGCATTCTTGTTTCAAGTGTAGAAGGAATTTGTTTAATCCATGGTCAAACTAGGCTTTTAAAGGATTGGTATGTGCTGTTGATGCCCTTGAAGAGTAAGAGCAAAGACTGGTACGGTGGGAGTCAAAATAAACTTTCCATAAGTGTAAAATGCCTTCCTGGAGACTGTTACTGTGTAAACAAGTATGAAAACAATCCAATCTTAGGAATCAATGAGGATGCGGGTACAAATCAATGACAGCAACCCAACAATGCAAATAACCAGAAGACAGCCTTTCAGTCTGGTTCAAACCAGGATTTATTCATAATACATTTACAAGTTCTTATTATATGTGCTATTTTTTGGTGGACATTAAACATCAATTAATCAGTCAGTCCTATCAGATACATCATTTAAGCCAGAGCAGGAGTAGGTAGATGTAACATTTTATCTTGCTTGCTTGTCTTCATTTAATATTTGTAGTTCTTTTCATGTAACATAGCTTCAAATCGAATGCTTTTTAAACAGTCATATGCTGATCTTTTACTACGCACTTAGATCTTGTTGCCTTTGACATTTTCTCTTACAAACGATTACTGTTGTCTAGCAAACTGTTTGTATTTGATGAAGGTTATTCCAGAAACGTAATGTACACAAACACAGGTGTGTACAGTATTAATACTGCAGCTAATACACTATTATAGGTCTGTTAAAACTGATATGTTCTATTCATTACTGTTATAATGGGTGACTTTAAAAAAGTCTTAATTATCCCTCTGGAACTTATTGATATTTATCAATAGAATAACCATAAAAGAACAGCAATATATGACTAGTTGATTTCAGTAGGCCCTCATATTTACCTGCTTTGCAGTGTTCTCGAGAATGGCTTTAGAATCATCTGTTGTATTCGGAACCATGTGACATTGATGTACACATAGCAGGAATTCCTTGTCCTAACAACGATACAGTATTATTGGTTATGTAACTTATAACACAGATGAGAATAACTATATAATAGATTTACTAGATGTATGTTAACCAAGAAAGATAAATTCTCAGCAATTATATATATATATATATATATATATATATGTATTTGGTTACAAGCATTCCACTAGATGTACTGTAAAAAGGTATCAAAATTATAATCCAAAGACTACATATCAAATTGCAAAATTTGAATTACCCAATGTTCAAAATGTCAAACTGAAATAGTTTTGCCTTGTCACAAATTTTTATGTGTAGCATGGAATTGTGAAGCTTAGGTATCCTATACAAACAAGGTAAGTCTTCAGATTTTCTGGTCAATGTAATGTTTATTGAAGCCAAAATACCATCCTTGTCAAATGATATGTTTTTTTATGTGGGATTACCTGAGTGCTAGTTTATTTCCAATTCTTTTACAAGACACTCGACATAGTACCATTTGCATACAAAAACAATATTATTTTAAGTTTGTCCACAGGAACAACAACTTATTTATCGTGAATAGATGATAAGACATTTCAGAGCTTCTTTGTTTCTGAATACGGACTTTGGTCGATCATTTGCAGAGTTTTTCAACTTTTGAGTTGGAGGTTTTATCAGAGACCTGATTGCTTTAACCCATTCTGAAAAAGTGTTCAGTTCCAACTTCTTTCTCAAAATATTATTCCTCTGTGACTAGGAGTAACTTAGTTCTGTACATCTACCCAAAAGTTCACCTGGTTCATTCATGCTTGTAATGTTAAGGTGGTCTAAATTTTGCACAAACCTCTATTTGGTGCCGCAATTGGAGCAGTGCCAAGCCGGCCCGAAATCTGTGATATTCTAGGAGCCTCTGGCCTTTGTTAGTCTTGAATGTTTTTAGATTTTAGTTCATTTATATGTTTTGGAGTTTTGTATACGTCTATTTTCACTGAACTAGTACACATTTTTATTTAGGGGCCAGTTGAGGCCCACCTTCGGGTGCGGGATTTTCTCGCTGCGTTGAAGACCCATTGGTGGCCTTCTGTTGTTATCTGCTCTTTGGTCGGGTTGTTGTCTCTTTGACATATTCCCTATTTCCATTCTCAATTTTATTATGTATAAAATCATGAAAGTTTGAACATTGAAAAAATACCTTTTTCTATGGAAGGTATCGTGATGATACTATATTAATACATCACGGCGACATTAAGGAAATCAAGGAATTATTAGAGTGAGCAAATAATCATCAGCCGTTCCTAAAATTCATTCTTGAATTTTCATCTACAGAAATAATATTTCTTAATGTTAATATTTTCAAAGGAACCCTATATTCTAATGAAAACATATTAGATGTGAAAACACACTGTAAACCAACAAACACATTCCCTTATCTACATCGTACAAGCTGTCATTGTCGACACGTGTTTGCATGTTTTATAAAGGGCGAGGTCATCGGATACAGTGTACTATTATTTGTCTGTTCGTCTTTTTATTTTTAGCCATGGCGTTGTCAGTTTCTTTTCGATCTATGAGTTTGACTGTCCCTCTGATGAACCCTGCCAGACAACATGTACACCATGCAGCTATCCCATAAGCAAAATATAGTTGACCTATTAACATAAGGCACCTGCATACCAGGTATGAAGCATCCAGGTCGTCTTCCTTCTGAAACAAAATTTGTAAGGGGTTCCATGGAACCCTGTGTCTCGCCTGTGATTACTGCTGTCAGTGTAAAAGTGTAATGTTGACTTAAAAAGTGAGTCCTTTTATCAGTAAAATACAGAATTTAAAAGAAAATTCACTTTTTTTCTTTACATGCTATTTCTCGGTAGTGAAGGCAAGCTTCTGTACTAGTTTCATAACAATAATAATCCATGAAGGTTTACAAATTTATCTTGTCAAAAAAATTGAATCCCAGACTGTCTGTAAATGTTAACTGTAAAAAACGAAGTCCATGTATCAGAAAAATACTAAAAATGAAAAAAATATATTAACAAGGTTTTCTTCAGACATTATCTATTAATCATTAAAAAGCTTCTACCAAAGTTTCATAAAACTCTATGAAGGTTTGACAAAGTAATTGATGTATTACAAACTTTTAACTCCAGACTGTATCTACTTGTTAACTGTAAAAGCACTATGTCCATTTATTAGTAAAATACGGAAAAATGAAAATAAATATTTTCAAAATTTTGCACTGGATACTGTATTTTGGTCATAAATAAGCTTCTGTCTAAATTTCATAAAATGCCATGTAGGTTTCATAAAAGTTATTGATGTCTAAAAAAAACAAAAACCACAGACTTAACCTAAATGTTGATGCAGACTACAGAATATGGGGTCGCTATGTCTAGCTTTCGCGAAAATAAATTTTGCAGGCTCAACAATAAAGCTTTAAACAAATAGTTTACCCTGTCGCCCCCATAGCTGGATTGTAATGCCTGTGTCTCCCTTTCTGCAACTTTCGTTGTAGGTGAGACAAAAATTGGACTTGTTGTGTCTGTGGATTTTAAAAGGACATTTCATATCATAGTTAGATATTATCACTTTGAATATGCATTGATTAACTGGTGTTTAGCTTATTATCATATTGTGCTGTTACACCACTGTCCAAGGTTAGGGGAGGGTTAATCACTTACAACCATTTTAACTCTGACGTATTATGTGCCTGTCAGAGGTTCAGAGCAAGTGGTAGCTATGGGCTGTTGCATTTGTTTTTTTTTTTGTTTTGTCATAAATCACACTGTTGGTGCTCGTTTGAATTGTTTCTCCTTTTGTCATGTCAGGCCTTTAACACCTTACTTTACTGTATGTGTTTTGCTCATTGTTGAAGTCTGTAAGGTGACTTATAGTTGCTTACATCCACACAATTTTGACTTTGGTGGATAGTTGTTTCATTGGCAATCATACTTCGTCCTTATTTTCTAAGTACTATTTGCTGCTAGGCATTAAGTAACTATTAATCATCAAGTAGGGATTCTCTTTTTGTATTTCAGAGAAGGTCTCTTAAAAATTTACAACAAAAAAACAACAGATATTATGTTATTATTTCTTCATATAAAAGTATGTTTCTAACTAAGGGCAGAGATCAAAACTTCATTAACTGAAAAGTACTCACAATATACCAATATACCTATATATATACCCATGATATGTACAGAATATAGTGTGAAACGAACTTCCAATTTAATTATGCTTTTTATATAAAAACTTCCAATTCTAAAAAGGAATTTTTTTAGAGAAATAAAAATGAAAACAATTTCTAGGTTTCGTCTTTTTTTTTCATAGAAATTGTGTCAAGCACAAATTTACATTTTGGGCTAAACTCACTTATCCCAAGTTTTGAATCTGTTTTGAAATGTTTAACACGAGTTGGTATAAGGAAAAACAAAATTGAAAATGAGATGAAACAAAACCTGTCTGACTAGCTAAATAATTGGCTAGATCACAGCACAGACGATGCTTTAACAGTTTTATGATTCATTGGTCAGTGTTCAATTTTGGTAATTGGGTCTGTTTCTCAGATACAATAAGCAATAAGCTAACCCTATCTCATGTATGAAATGATTGTATGGTGAACATGTCTATCTGACAGGGTTTACAACACCTTGATCTCATTTACATGGATCATTTATAATTTTAAGTTTATTTGATACTTCATATTACAGACATTCAATATAAATTCAAGTAAAGCAGTCCAGATATTTCAACATATGCACTCTTGTATAATTCTGTTTTGTTTTTTTTTAAATAAGAACCTGATTACAATCTAAAATTTTATTAAAACAATAAATATTAAAACATCAAGTCGTTTTGAGTGTAAGTCCAGGATGTAGTGATTTTACTCTCTGATTTCTAGATAGTCCAACTCTCATCCCTCCTGATGATGGAGATTGAATAGATGCACTCCCTAATGGTGAATTTACATTTTCTGCTGAACCTGTAACAGTAAAAAATATGTCCAATATAACCTACAATTACTATTAAGATTACAGTTGTTCCTTTGCTTTTTTCATCAAGTGTGTATACGTTTGAATTGTATTACATTTGTCATTTCTGGGCCTATTATAGCTTGCTATACAGTATGGGTTTTGCTGATTGTTGATACTGTATGGTAACCTATAGTTGTTAGCTTCTACATCATTTGGTCTTTGGTGGAGAGTTGTCACACTGGCAATCATACTATATCTTCTTATTTTTATAAGAACTTTTGTCATCAATCAATACACTATATCAGTCTTCCATAAGACTCAAGTATCTTATTTTATAACAGTACTTGCAGGAAAAATTATTATCTGCCAGTGATTTACCTGTAATTTATTATGTCCAAAAATTTTTTTTCAGTTGCTCGACTTGGATAGAGCTGGTAAAAATATAAAAAGTAGTTGCAAGGATGATTTACTGGTAATTTATTTTGTTCTTAAAAAAAATGTAAAGTTACTTGACTTGTAAAGAGCTGGTAGAAAATGATACTTTTGAAGTCATAATCATCCCTGACAAGTGGCAATTCAAAGGAATACTTCATACACAACGACATGTCAGTATGGGGAAGTTTAGCAAAAAGGATACTATAAGCCTGTTTGGACTCCAAAATGTAATGGAATAAATAATTTGCTTGACATATTACTGTTCTGAAAACAGTAATTTATTGGACTTACTCTATTTGCAGCTCATATCAAAAAAGAGTTTTAAAGAGTAACTTTGAACTTTAAAATCCAGTTTCTGCTTGAGGAGGGGGGGCTGCAAATACAATGAGCTACACACACTCAAAATGAAAAATATCTAACCCCTATTTTATGCTTGACTAGGCATAGGTATAACAATAAATACATTTACCATAACAAAAAAGCAAGTATGTATCCTAAATCCCTTGGTAAAAAACAGCTGGAAATTATAAATGCAGTTAACATTTTACATAAATGCATTGTACATGCATCATGTTAAAAAATAAGTTACCTGGAGGATTCCATTTAGGTACAGTTCTTACTATTGGACTTGAGATTGCTGATCTTATGGCTGGACTTTTCACTGCAGGTCTAGCTGTAATGGCTGGACTTTTCACTGCAGCTCTAACTGTAATGGCTGGACTTTTGAGTGGACCTTTTGATGATACTACAGGCATAATGGTCTTTGCTTTAGAATCAGCTCCAGGCTTGGATGCTGCAGCAGGCTTTGTGCCAACTATAACGATTAATCAGTATTGCAAACTTGTGACATAAACAAGATTAGAATTACAAATTTTTTTTCTTAAAATATGTCACAATGTAAAAATAAATAAAAGGAGATGCTTGGTATATGTCAATGAGACCTCAACTCAGACACAATCAAAGCAAGAGTGCGCTGAAAGGCAGTTACCTACAGGATTTATGATTTTATAGCCCAGATTGATTATAATCAAACATATTACTTTTCAGGAAAGGCTAACAACATCAGATATTTAGACATTTTTCAATTATTATGGCATGGAAATGATTATTTTACATTGCATTTCCAAAGAACATATTATTGTACAAGTATATTAATGCACAAATATCTTTTAATATAAAGTTTTACCATCTACAGAGCAACTGAGGATTGACTTTTTCTACAAACAAATGGATTTTTTGTTAAACATTCAACAAAGTGCAATTGAATATTTGGGGTCAATTTTGATTTTCACCATTTGTGGTAATTCACATTGAGTTTTAAAAAAAAAAAAACATTCCAGTTCATCATGTTGGTTTGGTGTGAACTTATCTCAAAAGCATTCAACAATGAGAAAAACCAATACTGTATAGTTGGTTATAAAAGGCCCCGACATGCAAAATATGAAACAATCCAATTAAGATAACTAACAGCCTAATTTAAACAAAACAATTTACGAAAAAACAAGTATGGCAGATATGAACCAACGACAACCACTGAACTACAGACTCCTGACTTGGGATAGGCACACAAAGAATGTGGCGGGGTTAAACATGTTTGTGAGAGCTCAACAAAGAATGTGGCGGGGTTAAACATGTTTGTGAGAGCTCAACTCTCCTCTACCCTGGGACAGTGGTGTAACAGCACAACACAAATCTTTAATCATCCTTGGTGTATTGAGTAATTGATATTCGTCACCTGTTGATGTTATATCAAACTATTATCACTTGTCAATTTATAGCATTGGACATGTTGGGCCGTTAAATCAAATAAGTTAGATACACTCAGGTTTTTCCATTTTCAATTTATAGAGGTAGAAACCTGAGGGCATCGAATGATTCAGATGTCAACTTTGGCACTGTTAGTTTCGGATATAAAAAAAAAACTATTATCAGACCTAATAGATCGAAATTGTTCACCTGACAAAGGGTCTGACATGATAGTTATGTCGGAATGTCAGATGATTTATCAACAGCTTTGGTTTCGATAAAATCCAGATGGATATTGATAGTTTAGGCAGATTTCGGCAATATTCAACGTACCAAATGTTCTGATGAGAAAACGAAAAAATAATGCAAAATGCAACTCTATCTTAAATTTTGAAAACTTACAAAAAACACTGTTTGATTCTTTACTTCGCAATGTCAATGAATAACAATAAAAAACACAGAATATCTCAAACAGAAGGAGAAAGAATTACACTTTTTCGGTATATCAATGGTGACATATTTACCCCCCACGTAGAAACAAAATGGCTATTGCCTGATACCATTAATGGCATTAAGGCACTGCCTTTAAAAACCAAAAGACCTGTTAGATGTTATTGAATTTTTCATTAAATTAGATTTGGGGGAAATACTTTAAGGTCAAGATGATAATGATGATGAATGGCTGTTAAATGTCAAGTGACATATCAAATGCATATTCAGAGCAAGAACAGGTCAATGGATATGAATATAAACCCTGCTTTATACTAGACTGACACACTGAGCTGTATTTTATACACATCAACCTACCTTGACATGTTATTCTGACTCTGGGCTAACCAGTCTTTGCTCTTACTCCTAATTTCCACTCTCTTCCATAGAAGCCCAAAAAAATTGACAAAATTTTTCGTTGTACAAAGTTTGTAGTAAATATTTCAAACTATCAGCAAACAGGAAGAACAGGGAGTGGCTAAACGGCAGATGTAAAATCTACATACACACTACAACATTATCAAGCTGCAGAACATCAAGAACAGGGAGTGGCTGCACGGCAGATGTAAAATCTACTTACACACTACAACATTATCAAGCTGCAGAACATCAAGAACAGGGAATGGCTGCACGGCAGATGTAAAATCTACTTACACACTACAACATTATCAAGCTGCAGAACATCAAGAACAGGGAATGGCTGCACGGCAGATGTAAAATCTACTTACACACTACAACATTATTAAGCTGCAGACCAAATATAAATCATTCCCTTTCATAGTATCCAAGATCTTTCAGACAGATGGACAGACTCTAGCCTTTACTACACCTGCTTTGACCGTTGGTGACACAGGTAATAACAACATATACAGCAGGTTGTAGTATCATGTAGCAGTGCCTGAGGATCTAATTGATATATTTGTTGGTCTAAGATACATGAATAATCTGTTTACAATAACTTAACCTCACCATTAGTTTTAGTTTGTTTTGTAGGTTTAGGTGTGACAGTCTTTTTGTTTGCATCCTTTTTCTTCTTTTTACTACCACAATCAAAGTCACTATCATTGTCTTCATCATAATCATCATCACTAGGATCATCATCATCATCATCCTCATCCACAGAAAACTCACTTTCTGTAATAAACATTTTATCAGACAAAACATAAAGTTTCATAAAAACATGAATGGGTAAAATAATATGGTTAAATTTTAATTTCTGGGGCATTAAAAAAACAAACAAATAGAAACAATATGCAGTCAACACAGGGAGGCTGGATTAGGTATGTGGTATGTCAAGTGACATTTTTGAGTTTGTTGCCAGTAACACATATAAGTGATTTATTAGTTTGTTGCCAGTTAAAAACATGAGAGATTTTTTAGATTGTTTTCAGTAATATAAATAAGTGACATATTTTTAGTTTGTTGCCAGTAACATACATAAGTGACATTTTTGAGATTGTTGCCAGTAACATACATAAGTGACACTTTTTAGTTTGTTGCCAGTAACGTACATAAGTGACATTTTTGAGATTGTTGCCAGTAACATACATAAGTGACACTTTTTAGTTTGTTGCCAGTAACATACTTAAGTGACATTTTTGAGATTGTTGCCAGTAACATACATAAGTGACACTTTTTAGTTTGTTGCCAGTAACATACATAAGTGACATTTTTGAGATTGTTGCCAGTAACATATATAAGTGATATTTTTAGTTTGTTGCCAGTAACATACTTTAGTAACATTTTTGTTTGTTGCCAGTAACATATATATAAATAAAGGCAACAGTAGTATACCGCTGTTCGAAACTCATAAATCGATAGAGATAAAAACAAATCTGGGTTACAAACTAAAACTGAGGGAAACGCATCAAATATAAGAGGAGAACAACGACACAACAAAAACACAACATTAAAAATGTAACACACACAGAAACGAACTATAAATAACAATGGCCATTTTCCTGACTTGGTACAGGACATTTTAAGAAAAAAATGGTGGGTTGAACCTGGTTTTGTGGCATGCCAGACCTCCCACTTTAATGGCAACGTCAAACACAACACCAAAACGACAACATCACATGACAGAACCACAATACAAATAAATGGGAGAACATATAGGACAAAGAAACACACGAATAATAGGTAACAAAAGGTACTAGGCTTAAAATTCAATACGCCAGACGTGCGTCTCGTCCACACAAGACCATCCAGTGACGCTCAGATGAAAAAAGCTTGAAAGCCAAAAGAAGTACAAAGCCGAAGAGCACCAAGGACCAAAACTTCCAAAAAGTTGCGCCTAACACGGCCAGGGTTTTCTGCCTGGGACAAGAACATCCTTATTATTTAGAATAATTTATAATTTTGCAAACAGTAAATTTTATAAAATGACTATATAATAGATATACATGATAAAACCGAAGTGGGGACTAACTACAGAATAAAAACGGATACATTACATAAAACAAATATAAATGATATTTTTTAGTTTGTTGCCAGTAACATACATAAGTGACATTTTTTTGTTTGTTGCCAATAACATATATAAGTAATGTTTTTAGTTTTCCAGTAACATACCAGGCCATAATCTTGCCGGCGAAATGACGATTTAAGTCGCCAAAGAACTTTGAAAATCGCTAAATCTCACCGGCGGACTGATTCATAGCGAAGTCAAATCGCTATCAAAATCGGTAAAAGGGAGACAACTTGTGATTGACAAGTCTCACAGGTAAAAAAAATGGCGGCTGACAAGGAAAATCGAGATTTTAAAAACAACCCAGGACTAATACTGTAAAAGATCAAATTAATAAATACAATGGCGACTTTGAACATCCTCGGATATAACTTGCAAAACTGTTCAAACGGAAAACTGACCGTCTGTTTAAGTTATCGGTTTATGATGATTTTCATCTGAGGATGTTGCGTAATCACTCAGCTGATTTGTTTTATTTTTATTACCTACACGAGTCGATCAATTTTACTATTCGGTAGGTAAAGGGTGGGAATTAACGGTAGATTTATTATATTCATTGAATAAAAATTGAAATATAAAAGGTAGAAAGACAGCTGATGGATAATGTGATTGCAAACGTACCAGATTGTGATCAGCAGTGGATTTTTTCTCATGACCACTTCGTTGATATGGATGATATTTTTATCGGATAATTAACTTGAGATTGAAAGATATTTTCATTTATAGACTTACAATCTTTAACGATAATCTCAATTTACTACAACTTACATAAATGTCCTGGACATTCAATAATAAAACAATGACAAGTGGTGATAAAAATTAAATTCCCAGTCATGTGAAATTCATCATATTTTTCTGGAGTTTTAAAAATAAATTGAGGCAGATGCACATGAATTTAATGCATCATAATCTTAATAATATTACTAGGCTACTCCCTCATGTCCCAATCAACAAATTTTATTTAGAACACATTATGGTATCAATAAATAAATAACAACTATATATTGTCTAAACCTTTTTATTAAGAACTTTCTATATATACATTGTGTACAATAACATAAGAAAAAACTGCAAGTACATCTTTTATTGAATATAAAACAATTTCCTCAGTGATAAGCTTGAATACACGATGCAACCGAAACGGTAGTGGAATCTCACTTCTCCAAGAAGTTGACCACTTCTCCCTTCTCTCTCATGGAAGGAGAAGTCACTTCTCCCTCTTCAAAATCCTAGATTAGGCCCTGACATACATTAGTGACATTTTTTGGTTTGTTTCCAGTAACATACATAAGTGACATTTTTGAGATTGTTTCCAGTAACATATATAAGTGACATTTTTGAGATTGTTGCCAGTAACATACATAAGTGACATTTTTGAGATTGTTTCCAGTAACATACATAAGTGACATTTTTGAGATTGTTTCCAGTAACATATATAAGTGACATTTTTGAGATTGTTGCCAGTAACATACATAAGTGACATTTTTGAGATTGTTTCCAGTAACATACATAAGTGACATTTTTGAGATTGTTTCCAGTAACATATATAAGTGACATTTTTGAGATTGTTGCCAGTAACATACATAAGTGACATTTTTGAGATTGTTTCCAGTAACATATATAAGTGACATTTTTGAGATTGTTTCCAGTAACATATATAAGTGACATTTTTGAGATTGTTGCCAGTAACATACATAAGTGACATTTTTGAGATTGTTTCCAGTAACATACATAAGTGACATTTTTGAGATTGTTTCCAGTAACATACATAAGTGACATTTTTGAGATTGTTTCCAGCAACATATATAAGTGACATTTTTGAGATTGTTTCCAGTAACATACATAAGTGACATTTTTGAGATTGTTTCCAGTAACATATATAAGTGACATTTTTGAGATTGTTTTCCAGTAACATACATAAGTGACATTTTTTGGTTTGTTGCCAGTAACATACATAAGTGACATTTTTGAGATTGTTTCCAGTAACATATATAAGTGACATTTTTGAGATTGTTTCCAGTAACATACATAAGTGACATTTTTTGGTTTGTTTCCAGTAACATACATAAATGACATTTTGGAGATTGTTTCCAGTAACATACATAAGTGACATTTTTGAGATTGTTTCCAGTAACATACATAAGTGACATTTTTTGGTTTGTTTCCAGTAACATACATAAGTGACAATTTTAAGTTTGTATCCAGTAACACACATAAGCGACATTTTTGAGGTTGTTGCCAGTAACATCCATTAGTGACATTTTTGAGGTTATTGCCAGTAACATACATTAGTGACAATTTTTGGTTTGCTTCCAATAACACACATAAGTGACATTTTTTAGGATGTCAAGATTTATAAAAAACAGCCACGATATACCTTCTCCAAAGCTCAATTGATGAAAGGAGTGAAATTTATCCAACATTATTATATAAAATCAATATGACCTTTTAACCCAATATACTTACCATTATCCTCACTATCATCATAAACAACCTTGGCCTTGATCACTGATTTCCTCCGCCCACCCTTTCCTAGCTCTTCCTCATCTTCTAATACAATTATACTATCACTATCATTACCATCTATATAATAAAGTTTATATCAGAACAAAGAAATGGTTACTTGTACAGAAATAATAATATACTGGAATTCTATTAAGGTACATACTTTCATAATTGTGGTTTTTAAACCATTCAATAAACATGATAAAAAAAATCAAACATAGGCATTCTTGAGTAACATTTCTTTTTTTCTGAAAACTACAGGACAAACTCTCTCTTTTTGCAGGTAATACATAAAAGTGATATCACTGTATGAAGTCTACTTTGAAGGACACCGATATAAGTAGGACAGCAATATTTCTTATCAGTAGGTTAAGTGCTTTGAGCTTGCTGTCAGTAACTGCAATTATTCTTTAATATATCATTATGGTATATTTTTATCTTATTTAATCTAATTAAATTTATTTTCTGTTGATGTTACCTAATTTACCAATATTCTAGAGTTAGGTGTTTACCTGTACAACTTTTTATTCTAGGCTCTTTCGAGTACGTGTACAGATAGAGATTGAACAGGGTGAGGGTTTGAGATCTCAATAAACTAGTTTAAAACTGCCAAATTTGATTTGTCTGGCCCAAATCAGGAACCTTGCCAGCATTGGGTATATCTTAATGGTTTTCCTTATTTTGAGAATTGATTTAATGGCAGACCTTAAAAAGGCTTTGATTGTTTCTGTTGAGTTTATTCACAACTTTTCAAGACTCAAGACGATACAGAGCTTGACATATTGTATAAGACACCTGTCTTTTGTTAAACTGTATGTTGCCCTCTAGTTGTCTTTTGGTTGTGCATTTTGTTGGGTTGCTGTATGGTGTAGTATACCCCACATCTCCTTTTACTCATTCAAGCATTTTTTTCATTTTTTTTAATAAAAATTGTATCCATTTTCAATGAAAGAGACTTATCTTCAAAACCTATTTCCTTATGCAAAATTACCTCTTTGGTATGTTTCTATTCAAAAACTTCTAATAATGAAGAAAATACCTGATTTATTCCTTTGAATTTCATGTAAAATTTTATGATTTTCAACATTGTGTTCTGCATGCACTGTTTCAGTCTTTTCTGAACTATTTCCCAGTCTTTCTATATTGATACAGTTTATATTTTTGTCTTTATTCACTTCTACTGAACATATCACATCGTTCTGCTTTACTTCTTCAAAAGGTGTTGAAGTCACTGGTGTTTTATTGATTTTTTCCTTTTCTATCTTTATCACATTTGACTTTTTATTGTTTTTAGGTTTAAAATCTTCATCGTCATCATCACAGTTAGAACTTTGAGATGCTATCAAAGAGAGTTCTAATGCTGCCTGAAGTTCCCTTTCATAAACTTTCTCTGCTAAAGGGGTTCTACTGAAATATACATGTATATAATTTAAACAAACTACTCAAATCAGTGCAAAAAATAAAAAGTTTCGAAAAAAAATTTGTACATAATAGAAAAACAAAGGATATGGGGTATCCATCCATGACACAAATTCAGTACATGGACAGCAATAAACACACAAAAAGCAAAGGAACAGCGCTTTTATTGCTGTTCTTCACATGTATACCAAAAAAAAAAAATCTCATCATTGAACCTGTAAATGAAGTTTTTTCTAAGTACAAAGGGGGCCTCGGTGGCCAAGTGGTCTAAGTAGTTCTACTACTGTAATCACTAGCCAGTCAACACTGAGGTTGTGAGTTTGAACCCCGCTCGTGTGGGTGCACTTGACTCCAGTCTTAATTGACCAGGATTGTCAGTTTTCCTATTGAAGGTCGGTGGTTTTCTCCGGGCACTCCGGCTTCCTCCATCAATAAAAACTGGCTGCCACGAAATAGCCCAAATGTGGCGCTTAAAACTGGTGTTAAAACACCAACAATCAATCAATCTAAATACAAAGTTGCATGCAACAAAACTTTTGTATTTGTTATCTATTAAGACATAATTATGATAATGTTAAACTACATAATTGAATTGCTAATTAAATTGTAAGTGTCACACTGGCTTCACCTTCCTAGAACCAAACAGTTATATATGGTGCTTCTTATTACTTTCTTGCAATTTTCTATTTAAATTGTGTCATATTCATTTTGTACAACTGAATAAATATTCCAAACAGACGATTTATGATACTTCATATATCTTTTTTGTAATTAATGTTTAAAATAATTTGTTGTCAACTACACCTCAAAGGAAAATAAAATACTTATGTCTCACCTCCTACAGAATTCATCCAATGAGAGATAATATATAACAGTCCATAATTTATGTTTAATTTAGACAAGTTTTCCACTGACAACTTACAAGAAACAAGATAGACATGACTAGGATATCTGTACACAAGGAACAGTTCTGATCTGTACACAAGGAACAGTTCTGATCTTTGAAAACATTGATGCTTTTCTTCAGGCCTTCACAAATATTTTTAACAAAAGTCAGCCAACCTATACAGTAAATTTGTAATTGGTATTCATTCTGATTACTTCATGCTGTTATTGGTCAAATGGGACAGTTATTTGTTCTAAAAATACTCTCATTAGTGTAACAATTATAATCACATACCTTTTTGTAGGTTTCTTTTTGTCTGTGATTGCTGTAGTTTTTTTCTGTAAGTCTTTGCTTGAAGAAGTTTTAGCCTTTTTACTTGGAGGTGGAGTTAGATCTGCAAAGTCATCTAAAAATACCAACTTTATGTAAGTTACTTCCTCAAGTTAAAATCTGTATCTGTCATTTGAAATATATTAGTATTGCATATAAAGGTACATATTTGTATTTTTTAAAAGTCTTTGCTACCTATTCTTACCTAGCCCAATATGCTTTTGATTTCCAGTGACTGTTTCTGTTCCCCATCCACCCATATTTCCAAATCAAAAGTTTGTCACTATTTTCTTTATACAATTTTTTAGTAATAGGAATTAGTAACAATTACACTTTAACTTATGAATTACAAAGACAAGTTTTCTATTGACAGAAAGTCTTTGGTTTACTTAAGTGTTTGAAAAAGTAACCTTAACTTAAAGTGTTTGAAAAAGTAACCGTAATTGGAAAAATGCTTTTGTAAGTGGATTAAAAGAGAAGAAAAAAACAGCAAATCCAAAAACCAGTTATGGATTGACAGTCATATAAAATAATTATTTCTTAAAAGAGTCCAAGGTTTGAAATTTTGTCTTCCTAAAATAACTACCTGCCAGGGTCTGTACTAGCATTTGTTTACATTCTAATACATGTGTATAAGAACTCTAATTATGCAAGGATGCCTGGCTTAATTTGAAAACAATTATAAACGTGGAAAAAAATTCGTAAGGGTTCCGCAGAACCTCGTGTCTCGCCTACTTTTGCTGTTAATCGCAGGCTCAACAAAATGAGGAAAAAAATTAATAAAAATATTCCTCTCTATACTATCTTTTGATTGTAAGTAGCTTCTGTCCAAGTTTGGTAAATCGTAGTTTATGCATCTAATAAATGTTTTAAAAACTTAAACTGCAGACTGTATGTAATGTTAACTGGAAGAAAAACGAAGTCCATTTATAAGTAAAATACGGAAAAAATGGAACAAAATTTTAACAAAATTTCCTTCTAGATACTAGCTTTTAATCATAAATAAGCTTCTGTCCAAGTTTGGTACAAATCCAAGATAGTTTAAGAAAGTTATTAAAATTTGAAAAACTTTAACCACAGAGTGAATGTAATGTTAACTGGCAGAAAAACTAAGTCCATTTAAAAGTAAAATACGGAAAAAATGGAATTTTTTTTTACAAAATTTACTTTTCAATATTATCTTATGATCATAAACAAGCTTCTGTCCAAGTTTGGTAGAAATCCAGGATAGTTTAAAAAAGTTATTAAAATTTCAAAAACTTTAACCACAGAGTGAATATTTGTGAATGTAGGATCGCTATGTCTCGCTTTTTCGACAAAAGTCGAAGGCTCAACAAAAATGAAGTTCATGATCTCCTAACATGACTAAAGTCCTCCAGATTACAGATTGAAAAAAAAAAAGTGTTTTTAAACATTTTCCTCGTAACATATTTTCCTCCCTTAACAAATGTTCATAATGCTTAGAAATTTAGGAAAACTTGATGCGACTGTCAAACAAGTGAGAGGTTTAGCTGGCTATAAAACCAGGTTCAATCCACCATTTTCTACATAAGAAAATGCCTGTACCAAGTCAGGAATATGACAGTTGTTATCCATTCGATTGATGTGTTTGAGCTTTTGATTTTGCCATTTGATTAGGGACTTTCCTTTTTGAATTTTCCTCGGAGTTCAGTATTTTTGTGATTTTACTTTTTGATACCTTATATTATTACTACCAATAGGAGTGTTAAAATCATAGTGTACTTCATAGGCATGTGTTTCTCCAGTGAAAACAATCATGTTATTACTACCAATAGGAGTGTTAAAATCATAGTGTACTTCATAGGCATGTGTTTCTCCAGTGAAAACAATCATGTTATTATTATCAATAGCAGTGTTAAAATCATAGTGTACTTCATAGGCATGTGTTTCTCCAGTGAAAAGAATCTCATGTTATTAAATCAGAAATTATTATGTGATACATGTGTATATACATTTGTACAATATATGTTAAACAAGAATATGTGTCCATAGGACATCATGCCTTGCTTACACTATCACATTTCCAAGATCAGTGAACCACAAAATCTGGTTCCAAACCCTTTTTTGGCAAATCAATTTCAAAGTCACATCATATGGACATGCCAACTAAGTTTCAAAGTTTAAGTGACTACAACTTCATGATATTAAAACTACCTTCAACTAATACATTAACCTGATACGGGACGGACATATGAACTAACAGATGAAGGAGGCTGACCGGAAAACATAATATCTTCTTACTACTGAAGGCGACCTATAACATTAAACTGTGTTCTTAGTAGATATAGGAAGATGTGGTATGAGTGCCAATGAGACAACTCTCCATCCAAGTAACAATTTATAAAAGTAAACCATTATAGGTCAAGGTACGGCCTTCAACACGGAGCATTGGCTCACACTGAACAGCAAGCTATAAAGGACCCCAAAATTTACTAGTGTAAAACCATTCAAATGGGAAAACCAACAGTCTAATCTATATAAAAACGAGAAACGAGAAACATGTATGAACTACACATACAAATAGGTAAAGTCATACCATCAAAATCATCAGGTCCTCCAAACTTGGCATAATCAACAGCTTTTCTTGCTCTGTAAGAAAAAAAGATATACTATCATACATAGAATTGAGAATGGAAACGGGGAATGTGTCAAACTCAAAGAGACAACAACCCTACATGTACTTAAGAGCAGAAAAACAGACAAAGACCACCAATGGGTCTTCAACGCAGCAATAAATTCCTGTACTCGGATGAGGGCTTCAGCTACATGTCTATATTATTTACCTGTATTTGATATGTTAATGATACATGTGTTTACAATGTAATCAAATTATTTGTTCTGGATGCTTTATTGTAGATAAGTAAACATGTTTAACCCCGCCACATTTTTGCGCCTGTCCCAAGTCATGAGCCTCTGGCCTTTGTTAGTACATGTATTTCACATCCTAAATTTTACGGTAATATTGTACTAAAAGTGTGGAAATCACTATGTGATCCGTGTAAACTCATCGAACCTTTAAACAAACTTATTAGTAAAGCATGTAAAGGTTATCTTATCAATGTTGTAATTAGACTATGGACTATGAATATTTTTTATCAAGTCCTATTTGGCTTAACAATATGATTAGAATTTGTAATAAACCTGTTTTTTACCAACATTGGTTTAATCATGGTTTACAATATGTAAATGATGTAATAGATGAAAATGGATTTTTTATTTCATTAGAATTGTTACAGCAATGTTACGATATCAATGTAAATTTTTTCAATTACATGAGTGTTCTTTCAGCTATTAAAAAAGCAGCAAATAATTACAAAAAAGATTCATATAAGTTTTTTTTTTAACTTTTGATTTTTTTATTTCCAACAAATACAACATATACATGACATACATACAATATAATACAATAAGAATATATACAATGTCATTAATATAAATACATCTAAATTGGAAATATTTTACATTTTCTATTGAAAAGATAAAAAAATAAAAAATAGAAAAATTAATAAATAAATAAATAAATAAATAATGATAATTAACAGATTGGAGTTAAGAGTAAAGAAGAAGGGAAAAAAAAAAGAAAAAAAAAGGATTATCCAGTTACATCCCTATCTATATTTTAAATATCAAATATTTATGTTGGAAAATATTTGCAAAATTAACTAGACATATTTCTTTCATAACAGCCATCACACAGATCAAGTACATAACATGACAATAATATTTTCTTTAAAATAGATTATAATTAAATAGTCATGAGTTATTGTAACAAAAATAGACATTAGCTGGTATTCAATAAAAGTTTTTCAAAAACATTCCATACATTGTCAAATTCAGTTATCTTTTTATTTTTTACAGCTATCATACTCTCTAATTTATACATATCTTTCAGCTTTATTATAGCTGCTTGCAATGAGAGATTCTTTTTAAAGCATCTAGAATTATACACATATTGTTTAATGTAAAGAAAAATCATGTTGTATGGGTTGTTGGGAAATATCTTGGATAAGTCTCCAAAAAGAAAGTTTAATTTATTCATTGGGAGACTTATTCCACCAGAAAGGAACCAGTTATCAATATCCTGTAGAAAATTTTGTACAGTATTGCAATTCCAAAATAGGTGTTCTATAGACTCGTTCTCTGATTTACAAAATGTACATAAAGGATCATCGATCAATTTTATTTTAACTAAAAACTGGTTTGTTGCAATAATGCAATGGTTAATCCTATATTGCAACCACTGTAATTTACTATTTTTTGTAACAGCAAAAGGCAGTCTGAAAATCTTTTTCCAGTTCAGATTCTGTTCACCTAAAATTTTAACCCACTTAAGCTGTCCAGTAGGAGTAACATTATTTCTTGTCAGTACAGAATACATATCTTTTGATCCTTTACAATGTTTTAAAAATACTTGCAGACATGATGGTATAAAAGGACAAAATAATTTGTAAGATCCTTTAGTGTAAGATTTTGATGCCTCTTTCACTGCCGAAATAACACTGTTAAATTTAAGAAAATCTGTGTTAATGTTATAGTTTTCCTTAAATTGGTCAAATGAAATATACGATCCATCTTGGTCAACTATATCATTTACAAATCTAATACCACTTTTGAACCATTCTTGATAAATTACTGATTTATGACCAATCTTAATATTATTATTTAGCCATAGTGGATTTGATAAAAATGAATCATAAGTCAAGTTTCTTTCTTTTTGAATAATCATTTCCCAGGATCTTAGTACATCTTTCCAAAAAAGGTTGTTAACTGTCATGTAAAGTTGTCTAATATAATCAACACCACAACTAAACAACTTTCTTTTTTCTATATTTGACATGAAAATATTTTGCCATTTACTATCTCTCTGCAAAATCCTTCTAATCCATGTTGATTTAAGGGCTGTAATGAACATATTCAAATCAAGCATTTTCAAACCTCCCTCCAAATAATCTTTGATTAGGATATCCTTCTTAACTCTACGTATAGGTGAGTTCCATATGTATGTATAAATAAGTTCATTTATTCTCTTAACAATATCATCTGAAGGATTTGGCAGAGAGATAATGAGATGGTTTACAATAGGCAAGACTAGAGTTTTAATCACAGTTATTCTACCTATTACAGTTAGATTCCTTTTAGACCATTGATTTAAAGTATTTTTAATCTGTACAATTCTTTCAGAATAATTTATCTTAACAATTTTTTCAAGATCTACATCAAAATTGATTCCTAGTAATTTAAAAGTAGTTTCACCCCAAGACAGATTTCTGTTAGGGCATAATGTATCTGTACTATATTTTTTGCTCCCAAACCAAATAACTTGTGTTTTTGTGAAGTTAATATTTAGTCCAGATATTTTTGCAAACCAGTCTAATTCTAATAGTGATTCTTGCAGAGATTTTTCACTCCCATCCAAAATCAAAGAGGTGTCATCAGCAAATTGTGACAATTTATGCTCAACCCGTGTGACCTTTATACCACTAATGTCAATATTTCCCCTTATTTTCAATGCCAGAATCTCTACACATAAAATAAAAAGATATGGAGACAGGGGGTCCCCTTGTCTACAACCTCTACCAATAGTAAAAAAATCTGAAAGGTTCCCCCCCTGGATGACAGCAGAGTTGATATTATTGTAAAAAACTTTAACCCAATTAATGATAGATTCGCCAAAATTGAAAAATTTCAAAACATTTATCAAAAAGTCCCATGATATGGAATCGAAAGCTTTTTCAAAATCAATCAATAGTAATAACCCTGGTATTTCATGTTCCTCTGTGTACTGTAATATATCATAAATGAGTCTTATATTTTCCCCAATATACCTACCACTAATAAAACCAGTCTGATCAAAATTTATCAATTTATCGAGGACACTCTTAAATCTGTTTGCAATAGCTGCTGATCCAATTTTATACACAGTATTCAGTAAAGATATTGGGCGCCAGTTTTTTAAAAAGTGGCGGGGTTTATTCCCTTTCGGTAAACAAGTAATAATCCCTTGTTTTTGTGTAACAGATAGTTCCCCTGTTTTTGCACCATAATTTAAAGAATTTACAATAAAAATTTGAAGATCCTTCCAAAAAAATTTATAGAACTCTGCTGAAAAACCATCCGTTCCAGGAGTTTTGTTGTTTTTCATTTTTTTCAATGCTTCTCCAGCTTCTTTAACAGTAACTATACCTTCCAAGCTTTCTTTTTCCTGAGATGAAAGTATAGGAACACTTAAGTTTTTCAAGTCTTTTTTCAGATCACTTAAAAGTACTTTTAGTATCCCTTTTTTTATAAAGATTGTCATAAAAATTTTTAACTTCATTCAAAATATCTTTTTGTTTTGTTATAATTTCCCCATTTTCTTTCTCTACTTTAGGAATAATTTTGCTCATAAAATTTCGTGATTCTAAGCCACAGAAATAATTAGTAGGTTTTTCCCCTTCCTGTATCCATTGGACACGGGATCTTACTAATTTCCCTTTTAATTTTTGTGTTCTTAAACTTTCAAGCTCATGTTTTTTTGCCTCTAATTCGTTAATGGAATGTTCATCAACTCTTTCCTCTAATTGAGTTACTTCATTTCGAAGATTTATTTCCCTTTTTTCGTCTTGCTTTTTTTTAAAGCTTGAATATGAAATTGTCTTCCCCCTAATTTCCATTAGAAGAGTCTCAAGCAAAAGCTGACAGTTAATTCTAAAATGAATGTCTGTATTATCTATTTTGTCAATATTTTCCATATTATAGACTAAAGCACAATATTGTTTTTTCACTTCCTGTATTTTTTGCTTAATAGTATTTATATAGTCTATATAATATAATAAAGAGTTGTTAAACTTCCACAAACCTTTTCCCCTAATGAAAGGGTTAAATTCTAAATCTAGCAAAATCATAGAGTGATCTGACCGATAGCTTGGAAGTACATTACAATTTTTTAGACTGTTTAAAAAGTTTTCAGTGAGAAGAAAAAAGTCTAATCTAGCCTGTTTAAAAGGATTTCTCTTCCTCCAAGTGTATCGCTGTATATCTGGAAAAAGTTCTCTATATGGGTCTATCAAATTTCTTTCTTCAATAAATTCAAGAACTTTTTCCCTAGCTTTCGGATTGTTAATATTCACATAGTTGCAATAATCTATACATGGGTTTTGGACAAGATTAAAATCACCACAAATAACAAAGTATTCATTTTCAAAATCATCAATAACCGACATAATATTGGAAAAAAAATCTGGATTGTCTGTATTTGGTCCGTATAGACATACAAGAGTTATCTTTCTATTTTCTACAAGAATATCTAAAATTAAATAGTTTCCATTTATATCTTTTTTTTCTTTCAACACTTTGCATTCAAAATTATTATTGAACAAAATAGCTACACTTCTAGAGTTTGAGCTAACAGATGAAAAATAACACTCATAACCCCACATAGATCTCACTATGTTTTCTATATCATTTGTAAAATGAGTATCCTGAATACAATATATATTACAGTTCTTTGACTTCAGCATATCAAATACGTCTTTTCTTTTTAATGTGTTCCGAAGGCCTTGACAATTAACTGACAAAATCTTTAATGAACTCATTGATCATAAAATGTT